CTTGGTTTATTCAGGGCACTACACGTTTACTTTACAACGGCAGTTCTACATATTTGCTAGGCCTTAACACACGATGCACACAGACTGGGAGGAGCACAGCACTAGGCAACGACGGTCAGTCTTCCATCTTAATTGATGAGCGTTAATTCTCCATTACTCGTACATGTCTCGTAGTCTCTAACTTGTCTTTCCATCCATTTAAATACTAAACGATGACGCTAAGTTCCGGAATCTTCCCCTTCGAGAATATTCCCGAACCCTCTTGATGCATGACGTCGAAAGCGGTCAGCGGAAATGAAGATATGTTATACACCGTTGGGCTCTTCGGGACAAAGAGACATCAGGAGTGGGCGATGTGATATTGTTATATGCCACAGTGACTAAATTCGGGATTTGGATTAGTAATTGAATTTATTAACAACCTACAGGTCGTAACAACAATTAATTATTAAACCATTTCTGCTTAAAGAATTTACAGTTATTCCACAAATGTCTTTACTAATTTAAACGTCTATTTCTGTGTGTAGGATCTACATAAAGGATAGTTTCTTCCTATCTTGCGTGTCGGACAGTGTTTACAGGTCTCTTGTCTGGCAAAGCAATGACTAATCTGTTATAATTATAATCTGTGCAATCGAAAGCCTTTTAAAGGGCGGTTTAATAGCAGGGTCTTTTCTGAAAGAAAATAATTATAGAAAGAGGACGACCGACATGAGATTTGCCAGAACTTAAAGTACAAAGAAAGTTATGTGTGAAAAAATTTAATTTGGAACAGTATTCTGAAACAGAATGGCTATTTGGTTGCCATGATATAGGAAAATTGTTTTGTTGGCCATGCCTATTGTTTCTCAATGAAAAAAAAGGAACAAGACTAAGTTTGGTGATATCAGCAACCTTCATAAAGCATTGAAATGACATGAGAACGCTCAGACTCATATTACTTCAACAATGAACGCTGTTATGTTCGGGAAATCTCAAATTTATTGTCAACTTGAGAATCAAAAGCGCCTGACGATACTACATAAAGAAACGCTTGATTGATATCATGCCTGCGTGGCCATGACGAAAGCGTGGATTCTATCGACCGAGGTAATTATGTGGAATTAGTTCACTTTTTGAGGAAATATGATCATAAACTCAATGTTCACCTTGAGAACAGTAAAATATTTACAGTTTTATCGAACAGAATACAAAAGGACCATATTGACTCAATAAGTGACGTAAATTTTGGCGAGTTGATTGCTATCAGTTTGCTTATTAGGTACCACTGCTTCCCTAACCAAAAATAGTACCGCAGGCCACTGCTCTAAGTAAATACTATCATCTTTCCGCCCGTCAACCAAGTCACTTAAAACTAGACCAGCCAGCTAGTGGAGGATATTGGGAGTGGTGAATCGCCTGCAGGCAGGTATGTATAGGAATTCTTTGAAACCATCTTTGATTACAGCACATCTACTTCCTCCGAATGAAATTCCAGGGCATTTGTAAAATTTCTGAGTCCATTCCATGCCTAGCAAAATTCCTTACTCCATAGCTTGTTGGTTTATGTTTATAGCCATTAAGTAATAAAGTAATTACATCAGTAGATGTTCAGTGGAATATAATTTTATGAAAATTTCAGGCTTTTGCTTCTTGTTTACTCAACGTTGCCTTTATTGATCAGTCAAACCTCTGTCCCTCTCTCACTTATTACAGTATATACCATTTGCAACACACGAACCAGGGAAATTACACAAGAAAACTGAATCCGAAGGATTTTTAATTGTTAGTTGGGTGGGACTAAGTCCTTTGTATTGCGGCTACTTCTGGCCTATTGTACCAGCCCCAGATTTTAGGTGAGGGTGATTGTGGAACAATTGGTGGATTGAAGATTTGTAGGGGAAACCGAAATACTAGGAGAAAACCTGCCCCAGCGCCATTTTGTCCACCACAAATCCCACTTGACCATACCCGGGATCGAACGCGGACCGTCGAATTGAGAAACCAGCGACTAACGACTTAAGCTATAGCGCGGCCGAATCCGAAGGTAACTATAATATATTAATATTAAAATATAACCGTAATATATCAATCGTCCTTCCAATAAACAATACTGAATTCACTCAAGAAAACAAGTTACGGTAATTGTGAATATTCAATGAATTGAAAACAAAAACATTAAAAATGTGAAATTAAATCTTGGACATATCCTTGTAACAGTGGACAGAGAAGATTGATGTGGGAATATTCCTGTAATACAAATGAATGAAACTACAGAAATATGAATAAAACCTATGGGAATACGAAAAGATAAAGAGTATATTATATAAACAAGTCTTAGTCAATGAAAGAGTGAGGACCTAAAAATGTGAAACAACTGGCACCGAAACTTATCATACAGTAAAATGCTCAGTTTCTGTAACCAGATAAATCCTTAGAGTAAAATATAACATTTTAAACAGAATAATTCAGTTGATACAATGAATATATTTGAAAGAAATGCGAAATTCAAATGTATCTGTACACTCGCACTGTCACTTTGAATTGATGCTTCCTTGCACATATTACACGAAAACGTTCTCTCTCATGATATTCCATGTGACGCCGTTCTTGTTTTCCACCACAAGTGAACATTCCTTTCCATATCTCACAATCATGCTAGTTCTGCACTGTGTGATTTGAGGTGCATATTAAGAACGAAGCGATGAGTGAACTTTTTCTTGCACAAATTACACGAAATATGCCGTTCTTCACTGTGCACCCTCAGATGATTTTTCAGGATATCTCTTCTAGCGAAAGTTTTCTTACACACTTCGCAAGAAAAGGGTCTTTCTCCACTGTGTATTCTGAGATGTATTTTTAGGTGATGGAGCTGAGTGAACCGTTTCTTACAAACATCACACGAGAACGGTCGCTCTCCACTGTGTGCCCTGAGATGCCTGTTTAGGTAACAGCGCTGTGTGAAAGTCTTCTCGCACATTTGACATGAAAACGGTCGTTCTCCAGTGTGCATTCTGAGATGCGTGTTTAGGTTAGAGCGCTGGGCGAACGATTTCTTACACATTTTGCACGAAAAAGGCCGTTCTCCACTATGAACTCTGAAATGTTTGTTTAGGTCAGAGCGCAGGGCGAATATTTTCTTACACAATTCGCACGACAACGGCTGTTCTGCACTATGTGCGCTGAGATACCAGTTTAGGTGAAAGTGGTGGGCCAACGTTTTGTTACACACTTTGCAAGAAATTGGCCCTCCTGCAGTGTGCACTCTGGTATGGTTGTACAAATTATAGCGACTGCTAAACTTCTTCTTGCTATCTTTGCAAGAAAAAGACTTACTGCGACCACTTGATCCTTGTACTGCACTATGCTTGGGAGTTAACGATGGGACACACATTTTACAAAGACACGTTGTTTCTCTGTTACTTCCACTTGCATGTCCCAAGAAATTATTCTCACGAGACAATGACTTCTTACATATCTCACAAAAATCGAAGTTTTCTTCTCTGTTTAACAATTCTGCTCCCTGTTCACGAAGAAATTCTTTGGCATTAACATCCTTAATGACGTGTGTTGCTTCAATATTTGCTGCATTTAATTGAACACTCTGAAAGAAACAGAAATGCTATCAGATCCTGCAGCGGAGTTGACCTCGGAGACATTTTGCGCTAACACACCTGACACATTTACAAATACTGTTACACAAGCGTAAACCATGATGATACAATATTGTGTCCCAACTTGGTTCTCAAAGTTTACTAATAGAAACATAAATTTCTCTTAGTAAATACTAGCATGTGTCTCTCAGGTTAAGATGGAAATGTTGCATGCGGCATACGCCATGCTACGCTTTAATTAACCCAGTGCGTTAAATTGGTCCTCCCACCGACTGGAATTATTTGAGAGAGTAGAATCACCCTTTACCTTGTATGTGTAAGAATTTTAGAAACAAGTTTCTTGAAATTCTTACTGGTTTAGGGCATGTTGAACAGTGCGTAAATGATATTCCTGTACGTAAAGTTAAATCGTATGATCCTGTTGTACTGCACAGGTCTTAATTTGCCTTTTGCCTATATGCCGTCTATGTGTAACTTCGGTTACTATTCAACTGTCTATTTTTTATCGGTACATGTTCAGGCCATTCTCAGGTGTACAAGTTGCTGTGATTAAGGAATATTCTGTTCACTTTCTCTTATGCAGTTACCTCACTTTACTTCTAATTATGTGGGTTAATCATCTGTTTTCCTTTTGGTTTCCTTAAGCTGTACGTCTTTTGCCTTATTCGTAATATATGTGTCAAGTTAGAGCTTTGTTTTGAGGTGTACATGTATAGTTAGTTACTGTATGTATGGTGTTACGGTTTTGTTAGATTTTTGGGCTCTGACTCTTTTGTCTCTTATTATTTATGGTGGTCCACCATCATGTTCCGTGTTTGTATGTGTTTTCGTATCGTTGATTGTGTTGCTGCCATAAGACGTAATGTGTGTTGTGTGCTGCTTTCTGGTGTTTGTTTCCTGTAATCCTTTGAATATTGAGTTATGTGTGTCGGTGTAAATCAAAATAATACTGTAATATGTAACTTCATATATTACAGATTAAGCAAACACGTGCAGGTCAAGGAAACCAAAGTGAAAGCAGATGGCTAAACCGCATAAACGGAAGTAAGCCAAGGCAAACATAAGAGACACAAAAAGCATTACAGTGAACAGCAGATTCCTTAATCAGAACCTGTACATGTGAAGGTGGTCGGTTAGACCGAAAAGATATGGTGTAAAAAAACGACGGATGAATAATACAGAAGTTGCATATAGACGCCATTAAAACAAAAGGCATAATCACTTATTTCTGTACATTTGCAGAAATCTGGGATTGCCTTGATACTTAAATATTCTTATCCTGTGATTATTAGTCTGGATTTTATTAATTGAAATTAATAACACATCTGCGCCTCTTTCTTCAATTTGTTGCATGTAAAAAGCATTGCTCTTTTAAGAAGAAGACTGCACGTGTAATTTGGAACTGGGGAAAAATAAATGCATAGCGTATATTTGTGCTGAATCGTTTAGGAACGTAGACTCGTAGAACACCAAGAGAGAACTGCGAGTGTAATAAGAGACTGGATATTAGCGGAACAAATTTTTGGGATGTGTCTTAAAGTGAAACGAATGTCTATTTTGCCTAAGTGTTTTGAAATTTCGCTTGTAACATGAAGGTGAATAAGACTTCGTGGATGTGAGATTTATAGAGATCCTTCATATACACAGAGTGAACTGCAATGAAGATAAGTGCACAAGATGTAGTTACTGGGCACATATAATTTAGATTAAGACAATTATGATTTGAAAAAACCTAGTAATAAAAATGCTTCTGCTATAAATTTATAATTGAACACACAACACTTACAGCCTGATTCTTCAAAGCAGGAAATGTCCAGTCAACTCGTGTTAGAATTACTTTTGGGACTCGAGTTGCTAAGGAATGCAACGTCCTTCGCAGTCTCGCAAGGCGTGCTTCTTCACTTGCCATTTTTCTTTTGTTAATCTTCTCTTTCTGTTGTTCTGTGGCGAACACACACAAAGTTTAGACGCTGACACACCAAATACATCACTCTGATGTTAGAAAATGAAGGAATAAAATTAGATATGATATTCTATACATAAATCGGAAGGTTTAGAACCATGTTATTGACATTTCCAGTGTTTTTAAATTAAATGCCTTCTATGCGAGTGCAATGAGCATTTACATATGAATACATCTTTCGACAGGTTCTGTTGCGAGGCACTGAAGCGCAGTTAGTATAAATTAACGGCTTTTCAATTCCGCGTTATAGCTCAAGCGCTTAGTCGCTGGCATCCCACCCTGGTGGCCCGGGTTCGATCCCGGGTTTGGTCAAGTGTTATTTGTGGTGGACAAAGTAGACTGGGGCAAATTTTCTCCAAGTAATTCGGTTTCCCCTTCCAATCTTCATTCCACCAATTGCTCCACAATCACCCTCACATCATCTGGGGCTCGAGTAATAGGCCAGAAGTTGCCGCAGTACAATGGACTAAGTCCCACCCCACTAACATAAAAAAAACTGTTTTCATAGGCCAATTTCTCAATCTTATTGCAAAATATATAAAAGAGTTTCGTTGAGGACTTAAAAGTTGAAATTAAATAATTAAGCAGGTGTTCGAAAACAAACTTCAACTTCTCTATTTCACAGCGTCCAGACCAGGCCTGAGACCCATCCAGACTCTTGTCTACTTGGTAGAGGTGGATATTTACATGGGGGTAAATAGGCAAAGTCTTTTAGCTGATCACTCGTCTCATTTAGTGCCGATTTGAAGAACGGTGGAGATATACCTCCATTCCCATATGTACATTCATACATGGTTTACTGCTTGATTAATTAAACACAGAGACAACTTTACCTTTTTTCTACCAAATAATTCATACAATCATACATGGTTTTATGCTTGATTAATTAAACACAGAGACAACTTTACTTTTTTCTACCAGATAATTCTATATAGGAAAAATTTCGAAATATTAATGAAATTAAAAATCTACGTTACATGCAACTTTCTTCGGTCACCCACACATCCCAATAAACCACTAGAGTACAGAACAAATACTGCAATTCTAGGCGTATTTTCTACATTTTCTGTTAATTTGTCACTGAATTTCTTTCAATTTACATAATCCTTTCAGCCGCACTATGGCCCTGTTAGAGGCTGATTTGACCCCAGGGCCATTGTGCGGCTGGAGTATTTACGTATTTTTTTGTATATTATACATTTTCATATTTTGCTTATTTTATTAACATCTCACAGGATGTTCATTTCCGAACTGCTGTCGTACATATGCTTTAGAAAAAACCGGATTTGGTTTAGCAGCAGAAAATTTTCTATTGGTCTGAACCTAGTCACGTAAAAATATGGGATTGACTCTAAATTCTTTCACCTGAAATATTTCTGAATCCTCCACTCATTACAGCAACACTGTACTGATATCGAGGGCTACTAATATTATAATATACTGGAGCATGTAGACCCGTTACTGAATAACGCCTTTGCAAACAGACAGGTTCCTACGGTGACGAGTCCGCGCGCAACAATAGAGAAACTGTTGTAAACGGTGTTTTCTATGCGGCCCGTCCTAAAATATTATAAGGAAAATAACTGGAGCTTGAGTTCACATAGACTGAGGTCCCCTGAGGCTCATGTTACATTGAATGAACGGAATATCCTCTTCGTCAATCATGTAATATATTTGGGTGTAACCTTCGATAAGAGGATTACCTGGAGACTGCAAAAAGAAACGATTGAAGTCTATGCAGTCAGATCTTTTATTAGAAAGTACTCCTATTCAGAAGTGAGCGTTTAAGCGCCAAAAATAAACTAATCATCCATAAGGCACTGATCACAACATTAATGGCTTATGCTTGCCACGCTTGCGTATTAACGGCAAACACCCACCTACTGAATTTGTAGCGCCTACAAAACGAATTTCTCAGCGCCATTCGAAATTTTCCAAGGCGCACACCGGTCCGATATTTGCACATGACTTTCGACCTTCTCTTTGTATACGATTATAAGAAAGCTGTGCAGGCGACAAGCAGAAGTCATACAAAATCTTGAGAATGAACATGTTCGGGGTACAGGATATGGCGTAGCCAGGTATAGAATATATAAGAGACTTAATCTTTGCGCTGGCGAAGCTTACGACTGTTCAATCGTCTAAGCTGCTGTTGTAGCGTAAGATACGTAAGATATGTACAGTTTTCTTTGCAAAGCCTGTACTTAGAGAGGACTCAAGCCCGTGTCATGGCTCAAACGATTAGTCACAGGTTTCCCTACACGGTGGCCCAGGTTTGATCCCCGGTATGGTCAAGATGGTTTTGTGGTGGGCAGAGTGGCACTGGGGCATGTTTTCTCCGAGTACTTCGGTTACCCATGCCAATCTTCATTCCACCAGTTGCTCTACAGTCACCCTCACCTATCATCTGGGGTTGGTACAATAGGCCAGAAGTGGCAGCAGTACAAGTACAAGTCCCACCCCACAGGTAATAAGAAATACAGAGGACTCACATATAGCGCGAAAGGAAGAATTCAATAACATGCGACACGTGCATTTGACGAAAGGCCAGGCATACGCGTATTCATAAGAGATAATCTGTCTTCCCGTTAGAGAAGATATTACGTAAAGACTATCGTTGCAAGGCCTCGGTTGAAAAAGAAAACCGTCTGATCGTGAGTCTCAATTGTTTTAACGCCAAGAATACATGATTGGCGGTTAACAGCAAGTCATAATAAGATTTTGACGTCGACTTTTAGAGGTTAGAGATGTGGGTTATTTCCTGGACAGTAATGAACCGAGCACGGTAAACGTAGGCTCTCCATTATTGGAAGCCTTTGCCAAGGAACGACTGTGAAGACACAGTAGATTGAAAAGATATAATTTTGATGTTATTATTTTTAATTGATCAGCGATGGCGCTATAATTAAGTGTAGTGATAAGTCGAGTTTTAGGAAGATCAACAAATAAAACCTCCAATCCAAGCTCTGCCAGTTGTCACTCCAACTAGTGAAGACATAGCTCTTCTGTTTTTATTTGTTATTTTGAATTATCTGGCGAAATATAGGGGGTAGCACTGGCTACGTTCTGGACGACCATGATGTCGGAGTTCGTGTCTCGTTAGTGTCAAGAATATTTATATCTCCGTGTCGCCTAGAACGGCTCTGGGGTCCACCGAACCTCCTATACAATGGGTACTAGGGTCCCTCTCCCCGGGAGTAAAGCGGCCGGGGCTTGAATCTGGCCACTCCAACTAATGCGGAGGTCAAGAATATATAGATCTATACATCCACGCCCCCATACGGCTTTATGGTGTAATGCTTATTTGGTTAAGCTCAGGGACAACCTTAACTTACCTTACCGTATATCTGACATGTCACGGACCTCAAATGAAACACTTCGTCTAACAAATTTCGAATCCAACGGGACATGTCGTCGGAAGAGAGGGCACTCTCTAGGGTACGGCTTAGTAAACACGTAACGATGGCAACATGCAAGAAGCAAAAAGGAAGTTGTTTTGACAGACACAGGCACAAAGACAGAAAGGGAATGCAAATGCCTCCTTCAATTTATTCCAAAATGAGGAATGTAGGCCAAAATATATCACATTGTATATCTGAATAAAGTCTAAACATCATTATGAACGCCATTGCTTGTACGAACACTCGCCTGTGAGAATATCTGTAAGTTACGTTTAACGCGGTGCCAGTTTTGATGGAAACACAATATTTATGGAGATAAAGCAGGCTTCACCGTTTGCCAGTAAAGCTTGCAAAAATTTGTAAACAAGGCACACAGTTACATGGACGGGCTTGTGGGTATCAAACACAATAAATATGGAAGCAGACAATCCTGTTTCACCGGTTACTAATAGAAATAAAACAGATCGTCGTTATATTATCTGTAGGGAAGTAGAGAACCACAGAAGGTTAATCCCTTTCAATACGAAGAAAGTTTGTTCCTTATAATCACAGATTAACTTTAAATATAACGTTTTATGAAATGTTTTGAACATTAACCGAGGAATTTTTATTTTCTATTGAGCGAATGAGAATTAAAAACGTAGGTCGTACGTCACGGCTACAAAATATATCTCAATTACGAAAGAGTCCGTCCAATAATGTTTAGGAAAATAATCGTAGCTTATCATGAGAATCATGTAAATCCCTTAATATTTTCTTTAGCCAAAACGCAGATTTTCTACAGTGTTAAAAGTCTTAATATACATATACAGATTGTTAAAAATAGTTAAATGTAAATGGATAGTACTCACTAAAATGAGGGAATATTCTCAGTCTAATGTGTCCACAAACCAGTGCCTACTCAGATATGGGCGATGTTCATCTGAGCCATACCGCAGATTCTGCACGTGTGTCCCATGCATTTCAAAACGTCTTTCAACTCTTCGGCGCACAGAAGTGCGCACTCTGCCTGAAGTTCATAGCTTCACTCCAATCCCCTAACAGGCATTCGTTACTCGTTGCTATAATACCTTCAAATCACTGATTGACACTGAGTACACAAAACACTTCCTGTGTCCCACAGCCGAAATACAGAAAACTGAGATCAGAGAATTGTGAACGCCAATTGTCAGGTCCTCCGCGTGTTATCACTCTTCAAGGAAAGTCTGGCTGTGTTGGTGTCTGACAATGTAGAGAAAATGAGGTGGTGCCCTATCAGGCATAACCACGAAATAGCTAACAACATAATGACGGTGCACTGAACCGGTTTGTTTGCTTGGAAAGACAAGTGGTCCTAAGTTTCGATCACCTAAGGCGCCCACTTAGACCCTGGCTCCCATATATTATCAAGCAATGATTCCTGGAAATATGATTACGGGGACTTGTTTTGCTCATTTTTGTGGGTTCTATACACCTTACAGATTTTAACATCAACCTCTGTAACTACGTGTATCGTTCCATGCCCCACCCTTCGGTACTTCCTTCTGAGTCCCATTCCTTCTATACCATAGCTTCATCCTCTTCTACTCCATTGTTCCCCATCATGTCATGGCCTCCTGAGCCCCTTCCTAGGATTCCTCTGTCTCCCTAGCGTTGCAGCAACATCTTTTTTGGCTCCAATTTTTATTTATTATCTTTATAATTTGCTTCTGAGCTGCACAATCGACTGCGCTCTGGATTTCGGTTTGTAAAGACACTGTTATTTTCCTTGCACTATGCATGTATTATTATTGTTATTAATTAGGATGCATAGCTAGGCAACCGCGCGATAATCACCTCGCATGAACGCACTCAAGCTTAGCTCGTTGTTAGGCAACACTCAGCGCGCCATTGGACTGGTTGAGATATCAATCACGTGACGTGTATTCTATGTTGTTTTCCGTAAGCAACAATAGGACTGTGTTCTCCGTGCGTGTTCGATGCGGAAGCTATATAACGGCATTTACAGAACAACAGTTTTTTTAAGTGACAGAGTTCTGAGTTCTCGGTGGAAATTAGCCACAGAAACTTCGTCGTGTGAAGACCTGGAGCGATTCGAAAATTTCATTCATGTGTAATAAATGGTTTGTGATTCAGTGAGACTTATAGTTCCTGTGTTCTAGTCGTGATACCAGGAGAAGTGTAATGTGTGTGTGTGTGTGTGTGCGCGCGCGCGCGCTGTCGTGTGTGCTTGCGTGTAACAGTGAATTATAAACTGTAGAAACTGTGATTCATTAAACCCTGAACCCGCTTTATTAGTCATTGATACACGTGCCAATATTTTTATTTGCACTGTTATATAAATTCACCTATTCATTCGACGTATTTTATATATTTGCCTTGTCTTTGTGTGAGACCTCACCCAATTTGACCTACGCCGACTTCTGCCGTAACAACTTAAATTGCTCTTATGAAGGGGAGGGGGCGCCATGATGGCCCTAAAAATATTTAACAGTGTTACATTCAAGTTACCTACAGAAAGGAATACGCGTTTTCGTGTAAACGGTGGGTTACATTTTATCGATTTTACCCGATGAATAAGCATCATTATGATTTCCAAATGTCCATTTTCATGGAAACCTGCACACGGGCTATTGAGTTGTCCTATAAGGACAGACGGACTGCTGGATCAAAGTGACTGTAATTTCCGTAACCCCTCTGACTATATAAAATTGCCTGCCTCGTCTAACGTGTTCCCTGATACGGTGCAATTTTGTCGGGAATTTTTTGTAACGTGGAAAATAAAGTAGATTTTCATGTGGTGGAATTTATTGCCTAATTCCGTAAAAATTGTAAAAAAATCATAAATAATTTCAAACATAATTTATTTGTTCTGTTAAATATTACTAAAGAGATGAAACAAAACAGCTTTACAGTTGACAACAGATTCCTTAATCACAGAAACCTGTACACCTTTAGATGGCCGGTTGGCCGAAAGAAAGACGACGGTTGAATAGTAAACGAAATTGCCCATAGACGACATACAAGCGAAATGCAAAGTCAGATCTGTACATTGCACAAGGATGCTGCGATATAATATTAGGACTCACGTAGACTTAGTAAAATTTGGCGTCGTGACAAATTTTCTTTACTAACACCAACAAGGCTGAACCATTATCCCAATCAATATGCGACTTGCCTCATAAAATGTTTTGTAGTGTATATTATTAATAAAGCAGTGAGATACTATGGCTTATATAGGTGTACATTCGAAAATACTGTAAAAATATTGTTACCTGTCAGGTATCGAGTGTTAGGACATTGTCCCAGAAGGGATAAGGGACGTGACTGTCTGGCGTTCAGCGGGTACTGCTTCAGAGAATCTCAAATACATCTTCTGTACTTATTTAAGGAAAGGCACAATAAAGTTATCACAACACAAGCTCATTGTGCCATATTATGCAGTATTTTTTAACCAAGTCTTGTCCTGTTCCTCTAATACTACCTAGGTCCGACAACTTCTCTTCTTAAGTCTCGAAGGATTCTTCTGTGCCGTGCAGAGTGCAATGGCGAAATCGAGTTTCAAATGGACCATTGGTTAACTGAGCGGCGTTTTCCTTCGTGATTATTATTTTATCCCTGTGTAATATTTCATGACCGCCTCTGTGGTCCAGTGGTGAGCGTTCCTGGCTAAAATCCAAAGGTCCAGGTTCGATTCACGGCTCTACCAGATTTTTTCGGAGTAGTAGTGTTTCTGAAACGGGATCCACTTAGCCTCATGATGATAATTGAGGAGCTATTTCAAGGAAATATTGGCTCCGGTCTAGAAAATCGAAATTAAAAGGCCGTGGGGATTCGTTGCGCTGACCACGCGATAGCCTCTGTCTGAAAAAGTTGGCACTAAACTTCGCCGACAAGAGGCGGTCGCTCGGTCGGTATGGTTCGCTTGCGGAATGAAATAACAGAGTTTGTTTGTTTGATTATATTTCATGTCTGCGATAACGGATTTGTTGTAAGCCAATGAGAGGATGGTGGTGATGCGTGAAGCCGACAGAGAAATAGAGAAGCTGAATTCAAGAAAGTGATGGCCGAGAATTGGCGACAAGGCTGTAAGCTATTCACAATGCCAACCAGATGAGCGTGGAACCAGAAACGGAACGCCAAGGGAAGATGAATCAGTGGATAGAGGACATGAAGAATGGTATAAAGGAGAGGTCGGACTGGTAAGAAGACACAGAGGAAGCCCCAGATAATATATAGGCTATTGATCCCGCGATAGCCAACTTTGAAGAAATGATGGCCATGACGAGGACTAATGAAGGAAATATGGAGGACAAGGATTTGAAGGCAAATCCGGAATAGATGGAATATGAGTCGTAACGTTCCTAAGGAAGATACCGTAGTGAAATCGGTCAAAGGAAAGAATCAGTGGCACAGAGAGCTGCATCTATCTGCAAGGCGTCGCGGAGAGCCGAAGGAACTGACGCGTGGTGATTGCGAATCTCGGAGTGATTGTCCGCTATCCGGAATGAGTATGAGTCGCATTGCATAAGTCCCACGACGCAGGGAACAGGTGTTTCATAGACAATGAAAAGACGATATTGCACCGAGAACACGGAAAGGAGAACGGAGGAAAATAGATACTGAAAGGAACAAGAATGCAAAAATGGCATAAGGGACGGAGACTTAAGGCAGCAACCACCAAACAGCAAGCGAATAAAGGACCTAGGCGACAGTCGGCTACTATGTCTAAGAAAGAAGAAGGTAACCACGAACGGAACCGTAGGGTGTAGCTCAGGACAGCCATCAAATCTGGAAAGCGAACGGAAGATCAGGGAACACGTAGATTAAATTTTCAGAGAGAAGATCACGAAACAAGTAGTCGGAACATCCAGCGGGTTAGGAAGAATTATGAATTTAAATTTGTGGAGTTTTCGATCCCCTCCGAAGCGGAAAATGAAGCAGCGTTAGTGTAAGAAGAGTGGATATGGGGAACACCGGTCGCTCCAAGGTTTACGGGCCCTACTTCTGGAAAAGGGACAGAAAGGGAGAAAGAGACACTTTGCATTATGGTGAGAACCTGGATTAAATGGAAAAGTATAAGGAAACCACTCGGGACGAGCTGGCCTTGAGGACGGGCAGTGGTAGCGGTTAGAGAACAGCCAACTTAGGGAGAGAGAGAGAGAGAGGAATAAGGAACGGCTTGCTAAAAACGTTGAATGCACAGTCACCGGAAAGCAAGATAAGTTATACACCATTAGTCTCCTCGGGAAACAGAGACTTCCGGAGTGGGCGATGTCATATTGTCACATGTCACAGTGACAAAATCTGGGATTTGGATCAGTTAAATTTATTAACAACCTACAGCTCGTAACAACAATTAATTATTACACTATTTCTGCTTTTAAAAATTTGCAGTTATTCCATAATCATCGTCACTGGTTTTCATGTATTTATAACACAGGAACTATAAGAGTCTCACTGAATTAAACACTCCACATATAGGAAAGAAGTTATATCTTCTACTAACACGTTAAATTTTCAGTTGCCAACTTCTACTTCTACGAAATTATCTTCTACCAAGAACTGACTTGTTTAATTGTTCGGGTGATTCTGCTGCTATTACTGCTCGTAAATCATAACTGCTGTACTACTCCAGCTTTTTGCTCTCATCTTGTACTGTAACTTATTTATATAGCCGCGGAACGGACATGGACCTTCAGTAAATACATTCCCCGTGATCGCTTACAGACCAGTCAATTGCTGTGTCGGTAGGATCTATAGAAAGCATAATTTCTTCTATTGTTGCAAGTACAACTGTGTTTACAGTTCTGTTGTCTGGCAACACGATGACCAATCCGTTATAATATTCATCCTTATAGAATAATAGCAGTTTCAATGCAAAATAGATTATGATTGGAAGCAAGGAAGATGTTAAAATTCTTTACACTGGAAAAAAAAACCCAGTTACATCAGTTGAACACCAGTTCAATAAAACACATAAACAGCAAAAAATTTTCGGCACGAGCCAGAGAAATCACATAAGAAAACCGAATCCGAAGGTAACTATAATTTTCCAAAATTACATTATATAAACCCAATGTACCAATTGGGCTTCCAATAATCAATACTGAGTTAATGCTCGTAAAGTAGCTAATTTAATCGTAAAAATTCAATGAAGTGAACAGAATATATTACAAATTTGAAATTAAATTTTGAATATATCTTCATAACAATAAACAGAGAAGAGTGATTTGTGA